CCAACGAGACAGGACGGAAAAAGATACTTTCCGTAAAATTAAAAGACTATGTTGAATTTTAATTTTGTGTGTAAATTCTGTACATTTAATTAAGTTATTGTTAATTTTCTATTGGTTTAATGTAAATGGCTATTGTTCGGGACGAACAATACTAAGGAAGGGGCAGTGTTACGACAGCGGTAGTCACGTGACCATGGTAACACGTCATGATATTCTCGAAGGATCGGGGAACATCACGAATAATTCAGTATGTGTTAGGCGCCCTCTATTCCTGTATATAAGTGCGCTGGTTAACGTGAGACAAATCAATCGGAATTGAATTGCAGACAAAGACAGAGACGGACAATTGAGTCAAGCGCGTGAATCGTACGTTGTGAATTATAGCGTTGTTTAAGTTATAGCGTGACCGTGGAAATTAAGTGAATTTCAAAGTTGTATTGAGAAAGAATAAACTAGTTTTATTTAAGAAAGGACTTGTATCTCTAAAGTTTCTTCGGAAAGAATTTTTACGGAAAATTAATAAACGAACAGAGACGTAACAATATATTTAATACATTCTAGTTAGCATTTCGGACCTTGCCAATTTTATAAGTTTTTTATAAAATACAGAAATCGATGGTTATAATAAATAACGAAACAACCGCCCTCTATCCAGGAACTAAATTCTTCATCCGGGATATAAACCAGGAGCGTTGCGGAAGGTTAACCTTGTGAAAGTTAGCCATTATTACTATTAAATATCAAACGAACTTAAAAAGAAAATGTTGCAACTTTTTAGAATAATTGCTCGAAGAAGTGGTGTAGGACTTCGTGCATATTCTACAGATTTTGGAGGTGCACCATCAGCTGGTGAACATTCAGGTCAGTATTCGATGACGAGGAACCCACTTTGAGACTAATAATGGTTGGAGACGGCTTGAATGGGTAATGAAGAAAAACTTTAATATAAGTTTAACATAACAGTAAATGTACAACGTTTCGACAAGGTTTTGTCATCATCAGGCAGGTATTATATTAAAGTTTTCCTTCATTACCCATTCAAGCAGTCTCCAACCATTATTCAGGTCAGTAACATTTTATAAACTGGGCAGAACTACAGATGCTTCTACTACTAGTCCTACCAATAAACTTTATTATAAAGTATCTAACAAATTTGGTTTCAGGTGTTAAAAAAAATGTATGTCACAAGTTCATGTACAGAATCAGGGTTTAGTTAAAAAACATTAAATTCTTTGGGTAAAGAGGTGTGTAACCATGTTAAAACCAGTGAAAAAAAGTGTCATGCAGAAGTGCATAACAATTTTATCAGACTGCTGTGCATTTTGTAAAATCTTATGATTATATAACTAAATAATACTAGATTCCTAGCTTATATAAAACAACATACAAATAGTAAAATACAGGTTTATTGCTGATGAAAAAATTTAAAGGCATTTGAAACTCAAATTATATAAACATTTGATTTTAGTAATTAATCTTTATGGTGTACTTCTTGTGGGTAAAAGTAGTCTATCATCAACAATATCAAGATCTTTTAAGAATTTTGGTAAATTAATGATTTGTGCTAGAAACACAAGTTTATTTGATAATGTTACTCATAAAAAAATTATTACAGTTTCACAATAAATAAATTTTTTATAAGTTATGTATTTTTTACTTGACAACACATTTGTGTAAGTTGGCTAATGTCTTTGAACAAATATGAAGAGTACCTAAGGAAGGCATGTTAGCTCACAGCCACAAGTTGCAGATTTTTATTTATTCAAACGTAAATTTGCATGCACAACAAACCTTGGTTATAAATATTATAATAAAGCTTTGTTCATTAATTGTGCTTATAAATATTTTTTACTTAGTTATAAAAGTTTTTACACTGCTAAACAGGTTTATCTTCCAGGAGTTGACTCTTTCACTACAAACAAAATATATAATTTGGATTTATATATCACTATTGTTAAATTTCATGAAATCTTAGAGACAAAAAAGGAGCTTATTACCCCATCAAGGATGTCCCTTCTGCTTCCCAACTATAACCACCCCTTACTACTCATGTATTCATCCAATCTTTTCTTGATCTCAGTTAAA